CCCCAAAACCCCAAAACCCCAAAACCCCAAAACCCCAAAACCCCAATTTCATAAAATATAATTGAAAACTTATATCAAAGGGTTTGTGATATTTAAGTTCCTACAAATATGGCAAATTGCTTGGCTTAGATTCTCATTTTTACTGACTCAGAACTTCTCTAGTTCACTTAATTGATTGAGATAGTCGTTCCTATTCTTGACGATCATAGACTCTATCATTTCTATTTTCTTCTGGAATATCTTATGTTCTGAGTCAACTGAGATGACTGTATCCTCAAGCTGGTCAAGGGAAGATTTTTGCACGCATTTTTCAACCAGCTCTTTTAGAAGTATCACATTTTGGTTTAAATTTTCATCATTTTCTTCCAAAAGCAACAAGGAGTTAGTAATATCTTGACTCTGTTTACAATTTGCTAGCTCGTTCTTCATGTTTTCAATATCATTCTTAATATTTGTGATCTCTTTAATCTCCTTTGTGACAATCTCTAAGTTGGTATTTGACTTGTTAAAATCACTAAATTGGTTAAATTTTAAGCAAACTTTTCCTTCTGGGAGGAGTTTAAGATAAAACTTTCTACACATTACACATGAAAATATTACTTGACATTCTCATTCCTTGGTTTAAATCTGAGATATTCCTTTTGATTGTTTCAATACTCTGATTATGAATCTTCTGTTCATTCTTGACGCTTGTAATTTCTGAGTTCATATCCCCAATGATATCACTAATCTGATCACAAAGAGTCTTGTAATTATCCTTGTTGGTAGATAGTTCACTTTGAAGACTTTCAAAATCATGGGTTGGCCTGTTTTTGGATAATTTATCAACCTCTCTTTCTAGGATTGCTTGTCTTTTGTCAAGACTAACAATTTGGGTTTCATATTTAGAGCATAATAGAGTCAAATGCTCTGTAGTTCTGTGCATTGGGCAATAACTATTAACATTCTCAATGACATCGCCTCTTATAGATTCAAATTCTTCTACCATAATGTTGGAAAGAGAGTTAAACGATTCAACAAATGATGATTTGAGGTTATCGATCTGTTCCTTAACATCTCCTGAAATTTTCTCGGTTTCCCGTTCAAAAGTATTTTTAAATGATTCTTGCTTTGCTTTTGCTTGTAATTTCTTAATGGTTCAATTGTAAATAATTACCTTTACTGCGTTTGTGAGTCTATCCAGCTTGCTTTTGGTAACAAATGGATCCTTTAGATTAGCCTTAAAGTCTACCTTATTCTTGCACATGCTTGACACAGTCGGGTAATAATACTTTTTCATAAAATTTAAAAATTTAAATATTAATATTTAAATCTCATAAAGGGGTTTTGGGGTTTTGGGGTTTTGGGGGTTTGGGG